CTAGTGCACGAAGTATCGCCATCAGTTCAGCACGCTGATTAGTCTGAAGCTCGCCCGGAAGACGCTCCGCAAGGTTACGCTCGTCATTAGGACCAAAGTAAACTCCAAGGCCAGCACGAGAGCCAGCCTGGCCGTTGGCAAGACTGCTGCCGTCGGTCCAAATCGTGAGTACATTTCCGTTGTTTTCATGATGGGGCTCGGCGCGAGGTGCAGCTTTTGGTCTTCGTGTAGGCTCAGCCTTGACCTTTTTGGTAGATGCTTCTACAGGTTCAAAAGCAGCCCCAATGTACTCTTGCGTCTTCTCAAGTGATATACCCAGACGTCGGCAGGTCTCAGGGCTGGCGTTCTGTCTAATAAAATCTTCCGCGTCTGCTTGCGTATTGAACCTCTTGTGCTTGGGTCCAGCGATCTCTGTGACTTGTGGCTGGGTCTCATCCCAGGTATGATAGATACCTGGAACATGGCCTACGGCCACGGCATAGAACTTCGGGCGGTCCCTATCCGCCGACGGGTTCTCATGGCCCGCGACGTAGGCCTGGGCATCCTCTTTTGTTAGGAATGACTTGACTAGATATTGGTCAATTAATCTGTTTGCGACGGCCTAGGTTTTCGCATTTACGTAGGATCGCTACTCACATTTCGCACCTGGGAACCCGGTGGTTTGTGCTTGACACTCATCATAATTCGAATAGACACCAGGCTCCCTTCCCTTTTGGACAGCGTAGAACTTTGTAGCGTTTGCCGTTTTCCTCATCTTGGACGATGAACCTGCCCCGAACCCACCACTGGGGGCATTGCGCTTCTTGACCATTTCGGCGTCGTGTTCGTCTAGAGGATCTGCGTAATTGGTGCAGCAACTGTCTCGATCGAAAGCCCTGACCGTGGGGGTAGTGAGGAGAAAGTTGAAAATCGATAGGTCAACAGGGCCTCTGCTCGCGGTAGGTGCAGATGCAGGTCGTCGCGAGGCGTTTATATACCTGTCGTAGTGGTCTGCTGCCTCTTTAACAGAGCGAGTGAAGCTACGGGTGGCCGTCAATGCAGCGTTAACTCCAACGCCAGGACTGTCGCGACAAGCGACGGCACAAGAGGGAAATCGGCGGCCAACGAGTCATAGAAGATGCATGTTGATGGTCAAAGTAGCAACAAACAGACAAGACTGCCCCCTGCTTATCGATAATCTCGAAAGACCCACGGAGCTGGCGAGCTTCTTGACAAAGAAAGGCCAAGGTATGTGTTGGGTCTTTTGGTTTGAAAGGTCAAAGGTGCAGGGTGCAGCACGGATACAAAGAGGGGCAGGTCCTGAAGCGCGTGGAGCAAGGGTCCCTTCATATCAGGCACTCCCGTCTTTTAGTAACGGAAGTACATTACATTGCATTACATCAATGAATCAATGCAAAGCTACCTAACCAGGAGGCAGGCAATATTCCAGATAAGAAAAAGTCAATTGATACATGTCATGTTGCGTAAATGAAGCTAGCATACTACAATGAGTTCCACGTCCGACTTCTTCCAATGCTTTCTCCTCCATGCCCAAGCTATTGTTACAAGACCAACGCCAACATTTGTTAATCGACTCCTCACCTGGTATGTAAAGAGCTATCTAAACCCTTTGTGTGTTGTCCAGCCAATGTAACAACTGTAAGTAAGTCCATAAAACGCACCCTGCCAGGCAGTGGTAGATAATCGTAATCATGTTGTCGGCGTGGGTCATTGTTGTCCACAGGCAGTATCGTGCGGCACGTAATACTCTATCATTGCTCTCTGGGAGCTTTGCTGTCACTTTAATTTCGCGTGTATAGCAACGGAGCCGATGAGTCTCATATCGACCTCGGAGGTGGTAATCCTAAACATGAGTGATGGGGTCAAGAGGAGGCAAGTTGGGTACGCCATCACGTTCCCATTCCCAGGCCATCAAGCTCCAGTTGAGCTCTCGTCTCCAGAAGAGCCCCAGTCCTCGTCCACCTCCATCCGGACGATCGTCTGAGCTCAATCCTCCGCTGCGAGGCATGTGTGTAGCAAAAACAGCCTTTCCCATTCGAGAGTGAAGGATGCCCATTGAGCAGGACACACAAGGCTCATGGGTAACATAGAGCTCGAGCCCGTGGCACAGATAACCATCTTTGTTCGGATGCTCTTGTTCGAAGCATTGCTTCTCTATCTCGAGCAAAGGACCATCTTGGAATGCGTCATATTCGAGATTGGGTGCCATGAAAGGCAGGCCGGCGGCTCGTCTCTCGTGTCGAACAAGTTTCTGGGCGACCATGCTTATAGCACGAACAACACAGTGCGTCATGGGGTTGCTGGTCCCCTCCAGCAGGCCGCACTCCTGATGCCAGCGAGCATCTCCAGCAACCCCGACAAGTTCGACTTTTCCTCCCTCCCTCTGGACAATCACAGCTCCGACAGCTTCGCCGATCCCGGTTTCTTTAGCTTGTAAAGCAACACGATGGGCTAGTGCCATCCATACGGAGGCGTCCTCCTTGATATCTTCAGTTCCCCGGGCTACTATACTAGGGTGTGGACCCAAAGGGTTGTTCTTCCGATATACTGTTGGCCAAAATTGAGAAGACCACATGGCCGCTTGTATTTGAGATGTTGGTGCAAGTAGTGGAATGGGGATCTTCTCGATGAAGAGGTCGGTCTCCGCGCCCTCAACAATGGAAAGAACCTCCACTAGTTCCTCTCGGGTAAAATCTTTAACTTCTCCAATTATGATGTAAATCCATGTTGATTTGGCTGTATGAATTTGTCGACCAACTGAACTGTCATTCATGAACTGAGTCTTCAGGTGGGCTGGAAGATCACCGGGTTTGGAGCATCTGCGCAGATGAGGCAGGGGGTTAGCGCTGTTATCATCTGGTCGCATGTTACGCAAGGCCCTATATAGTTTCGGTAGTTAGTATCAAATCCATAATATATTTGGCACACTTGGGGTCTTGAGAATGGCGTACGTGATGACATCGTTGGCTTGTTTGGTAGGTGCCCGCGTGATGTACGCATGAGTGATTGTGTGATCCTGCCGAACCTCCTGAGTTGTTTTGAGGGGGATCAAGACACCACGGCGGGTGTGTCCTTCCTTCAAGTCATCGATCAGGGGGTTCGAGAGAATCTCGGATGGGCCGCGATGTTCGATCTTTGTGGGCGCAGACGCCTCAGCAGGCTCAGGAGTTTGGCAGACCTCACTAGACGGCCCGGCCGCCGAGTTGTCTTGAATTGCATCCATCTGCGGCCCTGGTTATCGCCTATTGACTGTGGTTAGCTACCGACCCAAACATATACAACAAGTTGACGACATACTAAACGTGGTCTTCGTGCCTGTGAAGAACTCGGATGGAAGTAAGCGCGATGTTTTCGGGTTGCAGCGGTGTTACGGTAGATGATGGCGAAGTTTCCAAGATCAGTTGCGTGTTGAGAAGAGAGAGTTGAGAGACTTGAGTTTGGAGGAGACGATGAAGAGACGACGAATGTTGTTATGATGCGAGGTCTCGTGACGAAAGAAGGCGCAACTTGGGACGAATTTAGGCAAGAGCGCACCACTCTTCACTTCTGACTCCCCTAAGGTACCTATCTCTCGTTCTTTCTCCTGTTTAAGCACTTTTATCAGTGACTGTCCCCAACTAACTCAGGTTAATAACAACCATTTGCAGTGGGCACTTACCCTTTACTATGTTCTTCGAAAACAAGTCTCTAGTATGAAAGATCAGAGATAAATAAGTGTTTGAAAGCAAAAGAGTAATGATCTTACAATCAGATGGAGGTCTAATGAGTAAATCTTGTGCGTATTTCGCTACCATTCGAGATGAACGATTCTGCACTTGATTCTGGCAGTGGCAGCACCTGACAAGGAACTGTCAAGTAAATGTCTGCAGTAACGCCCAATGAATAGCGATTTCTGTGACAATACCTACTTCCAAGGTAGATGACCAGTTGACCCTTATTAATTCCAGGCTGTGAATGAATGAGCTTTTCGCTTTCACTTTCCAAATGAATCAACTCTTTCACTGCCTTGGCAGGATCTTCAAAAGGCCTGCTACAAACAGAGCCCTTTTGCGATCGCGAGCAGCTTTGATCGAGCTTTCCACGCCTAAATTCTCTTTGTAAGCACGCGAAACATCGACATGGGAGTTGTCGTGTTTTTCTGTATCGTCCACTTCCTGGACTGTGCCTTCAGAAAGTCCTGTATCCCCATTAACTCGTTGGCATTGAAGTTGACGATAAGTTCTGTCAATCCTGTGGATCAATTGTGGCGGGGACCTGCATATGTGGCTTGGGGTCTGTAAGCCACTTCTTTCGGCCTACCCTATATACTTTGACTTGTGCCATCACCATTGTGTAAGACAATATAATACACCAGGCAATTATTGTGATTCGGGGCCGTTCTTTCGCAGCTTGCTGACTGGTACCAAACATCTTGGCTATGTGTATTGGGCAGTCATTTCGTCCGCATGAGGCAGGTAACAGCATGGCTGTCATCCAATTGAACATGCCAAGGGTTCAGCATGACAAAACAATCATGAGCTTTGACATTCGATTAACCTACAAGTGCAAAACAACTATCAGAAGAAGTTCATACACAACTACGCATCTACAATCACTTATTTCAGAGTACCATGGGAGACAAACATGTCATATCAACCCCGCGTCTCCCCACCCGACGTTATGTTAATTGAGAGCGATTCATCCTGTTGGTTCGGATATGCCCCCGAATATCACCATAAACAGATGAATGGCCGCTTTCGTGGGGAATAGGTTCTAAGGCTGCCTCTTTTGGCAACTGAATCTTGCATCCCCCATACTTTGAATATGCGGAAAAATCACCCCGCGTAGGGCATCTGATGCCGATGCACCGGCGTACCGGGCTGTCAACAGATCAAGGCTGTAGTTACAGTCATGGTATGAAGTACTGAATGGGGCCATACACACAAGTGAACAATATACGGTTGCCTGCATATACTATAAAGGGACAGTGTTTGGTGCTCCGTCAATCGAAGTGAGCTATCATGTTGCTTGGGCTGCTGACAATGCCAAACGTGCGTAAAGCTCACAGCTTGGCTGAACGTCCCCTAAACGTCACATGCTATACGCCCCGAGCATACTCTTTCGGTGGCCCAGGATGAGAGCATTTTACCGGAGCCATAATTCGGAGCTTTGGGGGCAGTCTTCGGGGCTAGGATAGACCATCCGGCGGCAGTCGAATTCAACTTTGCACTTACACGGGGCTCACCTACTAGGTGCGTAGTAGGATCCATAGCAACAATACTGGTCCCTAGCTGGAGCATGCATTTGACCGCGCTTGACTGACAGTAACAAACAAAAGAACACTACAGTCTTGCATCGTACTCATAGTTTCTGAACTAAGACATGGTTTCAGGAGTCGGAGAATAATAGGATCGTTGGGATTTGAGCATAAAGAGCTTACCTACCTATGCATTACTGACGATAGGCCACTGGGAAGCAAGCCAGCCACAGTCGGTACATGTACGATAAGACAAAAGGCCAGAAAAGCCGAGCAGGAAGAGAAATGACCTATCGGGACCATCCCCGCGTTACAGTTTGTACTGGCCTGTGCTCTCTTATAATGGCAATGAAAAAAGTCGAGGACAAGGAGTATCCTTTGTTGAGGTGTCATGATGCATGGTTCGATAGACATGAATGAAACACGGACAAAATAAGAAATGCAGTCAACAGAGCCCAGGTCGTGTAATATTCGCATGATTGATAAGAGTCATACTGAGACTCGTATCAAGCCATGGAACGACAAGGACAGCGGCACAACGCGAAGGCTTCTGATTGATAGTTTATGATATCCAAGGCTTTGCTCGAATGATATTCAGGGCCAGTGCGCCAGGGAGACAAAAAGTGACTAGGACCCCACGGACGAATTTATGACGCCTAAGCGCCCACGGGTAAACATGATTCGTAGTGGAATAGGAGTTGAAAGGTGATGCAATGATAGATTGGACGGCATTCATGCGAGATGACTGTCGCATTATTGGTCTCACCTCTATCGCACCGGGCGATGAGATGAAAGGACACGAGCAAGGAGCCAAGCGCTGAGCTGTAAAGCAAGGTCAGGGTGAGAGTGACGGTGACGGTGACAGGTCAGCCGCGAATCGAATCTCACATGTTGCATGAGAAAATGAGGCGCCTCTTTTGCAACATCGACCAAGTCTTACGCATATTGTGAGGGTAATTCTGTATCTCTACCAACTGCAGAAACCGCAAGAAGACCAAAGATAACGGTGGGGGTAAGTTGACTGTCCCCCTCATGCAACGCGATGCATGTGCAGAAGCGAGTTTAGTTTTTGCTCATCGCTTGCTTCGCTTTGCTTTGCTTGTGAAGGTTCCCCCGCGGCGAGATCGGAGAAAGCTGCACTAGGGATGACTCCTTTTGGGTTGAGGTGAAAGGAAGCAAGGATCTCATACCTTGCAGGAGCTTCCAGCGCTGGAGAAGGTGGTCTTGGGCGTGCAGTAGCGCGGCGTCTGTTTCTTTGAGCGAGAAGAACTATTGGAGCTTGACCTGATGTGGTCTAAAACCGCGTATGTTTGGTAGGGGTGCCATGCATAGCTGCGAACAGAGGTTCGGGGGTTTAAAGTACCGCCGGTTCAAGTGCACATTTTTCGAGATGAGAGACATGAAATTTAAGCTTGAAAATCACAATTTTATTGTAACAGGCCTTCAAGATTCGTTTCCGCTCTGACAGTGATGATCTTGATACTCAGACTAGAAGAAACTGACTGCCAGACAGAGTTAATGGGTTTGTGTGGCTTGCAGGGGTAAAAGCATCCATGGATGAAAGAGACCCAAGCTACGGAGGACTTTGAGCTCTGGTTTTCTGTAAGGGAAGTTTATCATCAGAAACGACAGTTTATCGAGATAGACTTGTCGTATAACTCAAGTAAGATTTTGGTTGCAAGATAAACATTTTAACGGGTGTTATTTACAGTGATAATAAACTTCCAAAAGAAGAAAAAAACAATTCATACTTATTCAAGAAAATTGTGATAGATGCTTGAAATTTAGAGCATGCGTTCCACCAGGATGGACTGGGTTGTCGCCTGACGCGCATGTCATCTTCAAAGCGTTGTAACACAGATGAGACTTATGACGACTAATTCACAAGCTTTATCCCTTCCAGGTCCTCAACAGCTTTCAGGAGAGACAAGCACCAGCACAACAAGACAGCTCGGTGAGTTAGAGATTCATTAGTACGAGTGTTCCAACAAGGGCCAAGCGCCACCGTCCCGTGTCTCAAAGGCTCTGCTGAACCATTCAAAGCCAAAAAGCTTGGCGGAATTTGAGGGCTTGTAAAAAGCTTCCTCACTGGAATCTTGTGTAGGGAGTGTTAACAAAAAGAACCAAAAATGGCCACGGAGTCGTGAATCCGAAGTCCCTTGAAACTCAGCCGCTAGCTTTACTGCAAAGGGACGAATCCGAGAGGCGCGTTGAAAATACATGCAGCATATCTCGGATTTGTGATACCGCCAGATGTCGTAGATTTGGGCAACCTTGTCCTGGGCACGTAAGGCCACGACATGCCATACTATATTGTTATATGGCGGGATTATCGGTACATGATTAATTGAAGGAGCTGGCAGGTGTTGAACTAAAGCAAAAGGAGGCCCAGCTGGGCGGTACATATGCTCAAGGATCTCGGGTCCCGGGACATGTTATTTCATCTAAGATGCACATACAGTGCCTCAACCAGACCATATTGTTGAGAATGAGCCTATAGCTGTTGTCTGCCTGGAACGTGCTTTCGTATACAAACCCAAAAGGGGGTGGAGGTGACTTGGGATCTTGATGCAAAGTCGCAGGGCATCCTGTACCTGAAAGCCAGTTGGTGTGTAGGATGCACAGCTGAGGTTGGCTGGTTGGTTGGAAAAGTACAATGATGTAAGATGTAAGTCGGTACAAACGAGACCGAGGGATCGATCCAATGTAATGCAGTGCCACCCAAGGGCGACGAGTCTCACGAGCCACTATCCCCAGGCCAGCAGACACACCTTGGCTTGACTTTCTGACCTTTCAGGCTTTCACCATAGGTACTTACAGTTTCTGACGATTGCCTATTCCCACACGATATTATTGGCCCCGAAATTTACATCGCGGTACAGTAGAAATGGATTTTCCCGCACACCTCGTTAGCTCAAAGCCTGAAGTGCCTGTCTGGGCATTGGGGGGTTTGACTTTTGACTTGACTCTGCGGCCATTTACTCGGGGCTCCAGCTCCTCGCCCGTCTGTTAATAAAACCACCGACACGGGCCCTCAACCACCTGGGCTCACATCACCTCACATTGCCTTGCTGCTCTCCTGATATTCTTTCAAGCGTACCAGCAACCCTAGTCAGGGCAACCAAAATACCCATGCAACACATTTCGAGGCTACCAGTATAATAATTGCAACCTGCTGCGTTTCGATCTGCAGACCCTCTAATGGGCACAGCCTATTCTGGGTGACGTATAACAGACAGACACAACCAGCAAAAAGACAGGAAAAAAACCGACTGCGCCAAGCACACGAAGCAACAAGCCTCAGCTCAGATTATAGGAAGACGAGGCATACAGCACAGCACAATTACAACACAGAACGTTACAACACACGGAGTTTATCGACTCATTGGCACCGAACACCAAGAGACTGGAAAAAAACAGTAGGGCAAGGGCTCAAGCTCAACAACTCCAAAAAAGGAAAGATCTCTATCAAGCCAGACCTCAACTTCATTTTATCCCATCAGGGCCTGGGCTCTTACAAAAACAAACCATCCACCCAGCATCCATCGATTCAACAAGTTCCCGCGGGATTAGACCCTCAACCCTCCACTCCCACTCCAAGCCAACCTTACCTGAACCTGGACGACATTAGCTTAGGCTAAGCCTGTGAAGAAGCCAGCAAGCAACAGCCAGCGCCACTACCGCAACTTTTTAGGGTCCTGCATTCTTCCCCACTGCTAATCGCGGCACGGCACCACCGAGCCCACCAACGACGACACCCCCAAGACCTCCAAGTCAGCCTCCAACTGCACTGGGACTGGGCTGCTTGCGACCTGGTGGAGGCCCCTCCAAGTCTACCATCCATCCTTTCAGTTCACCTCAACTCTCCAAAACTCGACTGGACTCGACTCGATTCGACTCGACTCAGATTCAGACTCACCTCCGGTCAAAGGTCAAGAAAGCGAAGCTAGTGGACGTCCCGAGCACCCCGACAGATTGACGCCACTGAAAGGTACAGTAGCGGAGGAAGAGGGACCCCTCCCTCAAAGGAAGCACACACCAAAGTCCACTGAGGAGCCCCTGTGGACCACTACGCCGGGCCTCGCTGGGGCGATTTTCATTGTTTATTGGTCGGCGTGTTCTTTGAAGAGTCAGAGCCTGTCGCCAATTGCTCGATTTGGAGTTTAGTCTCCCTCGTTACTCAGATGCCTTCAGCGATTCCGGTGGCCCCTGCAGGTACGTACATGGCGGTAGTTTCCTTGTCCTTGCCTTGTTTCTTAACAGCTTCTTCCAACAATGACTACGTATTTGCCCTGCCATTCTCCCATGCTTTATTAAGGTAGCCATTCAACTGCTGCTACACATCCAATCTTTTCTGTTGCTCTTCTTCTCCTCATACCAACTTTGAGTCTCCAAAAGATCTTCGACATCCATTGCTACCTTGTTGTTTTTTATCAAATCAAATTGTTTCAATTCTGTTTATCATAACTCGAACCCCTTATACCTACGCGATCGCATCTAGCACTTCAAGACACCAAAAAATCAACTATACACGTATCTAAAATCAAGACGCAGGTCGCCGACAATCAAAACAGTCTGGACTGTTAAAATCTGTGATGCATAACCTTCTCGGTGTATCACCTCCTTCGCCAGCGCTCCCAGCGCAACATTCGTCTGCGGCGCAACAGACATCCTTAGATTCTCTACCACCTACATCGAATCCTAGCTCGAATCCAAACAATCCAAATAACTACGCGGTTCTTCCTCCACCAGCCGACGGTGACCATGATCATCTTCCTCCTCCAGCAAATGCACCTTCTTCGTTGGCTGTGGCGCTGCGATCGCTAAACGATTTGACCGAAACCCCCACATATGCGCGAAGCGTCACTTCAACAGCGCCGAGCTCGCCACGCATGTAAGTGCCGTCATTTTTTCTCTTTTTTTTTTCCACAGTTGGGGTCGCGAACCACATATCCACCACCTTCGGCCCTTTTAGTACTGGCGATCCCGCTTTTAGAACCCCTCAATTGACGTATGGAAACAGTCCTCCGCTAAGACAGAATTCTGGACATCAAACACCACGAGTCCGGCCACATGCGACAACGCTCAACATCCCGGGCATGACCCGGTCAAGAGTCTCACCTGATGGAAGAATTCCTTCTCGTGATGTTGCCGCAAAGCTTGTTATTGTCATGGTTGGCTTGCCAGCCCGAGGAAAGTCTTACATTACCAAGAAGCTTCAAAGGTATCTTTCTTGGCAGCAGCATGATTCTCGCATCTTCAATGTTGGAAACCGAAGACGTGTAGCTGCCGGACGCAGAGTTTCTGTCCACCCAAAGTTGCAACCTGAGCCGGAACACATGGATCCTCCTGTGCATGCCGCTTCTATTTTGCTAAATGGTAACCCGGCACCGTTTGGTCCCGAACAGGCTGAGCCGGAGAAGCTTGATTTGAATGATGCCGCTCAATCCGAGGTGGACCAGTCCGCTACATTCTTCGATCCCAAGAATCAGACTGCCGCGGCCATGCGTGAGCAGTGTGCTATGGATACTTTGGACGAGCTGTTGGACTACCTTCTCGATGGAGGTGGCGCTGTCGGCATTCTCGATGCCACAAACAGCACTATTGAGCGAAGAAAGAACATCACCAATCGCATCAAGCAGAGGGAGCCCAAGTTGGGTATTCTTTTCATTGAGAGTATCTGTCAAGATCCTACTCTCCTGGAGGCGAACATGCGGCTGAAGCTCTCTGGTCCTGACTATCGTGACAAGGACCCTCAGAAGTCACTGGAAGATTTTAAGAAGCGAGTCGCTGCATACGAGAGTGCGTATGTTCCACTTGGCGAATATGAGGAAAAGCACGACTTGCAATACATCCAGGTTTGTGGAATTCGTAATGACTTTGAGAATCAGCAGCTGACCAAATCGTAGATGGTTGATGTTGGGCGAAAACTAATCCAGCACCGTCTCAAGGGTTTCCTCAGCAGTGGTATTAGCACTTACCTCGCTAGTTTCAATCTTGCTCCTCGACAGATCTGGATTACTCGACATGGCCAGAGCGTCGATAACGAGCTTGGAAGATTGGGTGGAAACTCACCGCTTACCGAGCGCGGCCATTGCTACGGCCAAGCTCTTCACAACTTCATCACTTACCAGCGTAAGCACTGGCTTATTGAACAGAAGAGCAAGAAAGCTCAGGCTACTTTCCCTCCCGTACCCGGTGACAACACACCTCCCTATCCTGAGATGTACCGAGAGATTGAGGACAAGAACTTTTGTGTCTGGACTTCGATGCTCGATCGCAGCGTGGACACAGCTGAGTATTTCGAGGCCGACGATGATTACGATGTGAAGAACTGGGAGATGCTCAACGAAATGAACTCGGGCCAGTTCGAAGGTATGACATATGCGGAAATCGCAAAGAAGGAGCCCGAGGAATTTGCCAAGCGAGCGCAGGACAAGCTCAACTACATCTATCCTGGAGTCGGAGGCGAAGGCTATCTGCAGGTTGTGAGCCGTCTCCGCGACATGGTTCGGGAGGTCGAGCGTATTGAAGACCATCTTCTTATCATTGGACATCGCTCTGTGTGTAGAGTCCTGATGGCCTATTTCATGGACCTGTCTCTGGCGGACATCACAGACATGGACATTCCTCTTGGCATGCTCTACTCTATTGAGCCCAAGCCTTACGGTCTTGACTTCCATGCTTACCGATACAACGAAGATCAGGGCTGGTTTGACGAGCTCCCCAACTACAAACCTACAAAGACGGCCCGCAACAGCATCATCAAGCCACAGCATTAATCATTTCCGGCTGTTTGCCGGAATCAACCGGCTTGTACATCATATTTACTACGATTTGACATTTCCTCCATGTACTTTTTTTCCCTTTGGCGTTATAGCGGGGTATGATATTATACGAATGACGCGCAAAAAGAGGGACTATCCACACTATCAATGGAACGGAATGGCATCATACACAAAACAACAAAGGAAGGGCTGGCGTTTTCCGTTCGATTGATAAATAGAGATACCTCCGATGTTGCGACGCAATTATTCGCATCGGCTATTTCATTTTGGCGTTTTGGGAGCAAGGTTTCTCCTCATTGAATGATCGAGATTGTATGGATTTGGGCGGTTCTGGTCGAGTCATGTACCAGCTTATATTTGGAAGGTGTCGGTCTCGACCTACGGTGTTGCGTGTTGTGTTTTATCCCTATTGGCTCCTTGCCGCAGGCGATGAAGGACTGAACAGAGATTCTTAGATGGGATTTGGAATGAGATGGATAGATACACAGCACGACGCTCACGCCGACGGATATGCCGCTCATGGGAAACCTTTAAGTTTTGAGTGCTTGTTTGAAAGGGATCCTTTACTGTCTAGATCTGATAGTTACAAGAAATTCACGTTTAGATATATATCCTCCTTCAGTCTGTTGCCTACCTGATGTCCAGCTTTAATGAAATCAATGTCGAATGTTTATGACATCTTGCACTGAGGCTTGCCTATGAATACGAATGGTATATTCTTCAATAAAGTCATCTAGATTACCCATGAATAGACGACCCGAACGCCTTGCAATGCCCTTCCGTGCCTTTGTAATCCCACTGAACTTTTCTCATTGCTGCAACTATTTAGACTCCTTGCACCTCCCTTACTTCTCTCTCGCCAGAATCATCTTTTCTCTCTCTCCCCTACGTCTCTCAAATTGTTTCTTAGTATGACGACGCTCATTCTCTTCACGACGCTTAATGCTCTTGAGCTCCTCAGCCTTAATCTCACCGGCCTTCTTGAGGACCTTGGGCACATGACGGTGACGATGAATGCGGCGAACCTCAGGCATGTGCTGATAACGCTCGATAAGTGCTTCGTTGTACTCCAGGGCTTGTCGTTGACGAGCTGACTTGACGCCTTCGCGGCGAGAGGCGTTAGCGCGCCAGAGTCGAACGTTACCATCGTCGGATCCAGAGAGAATGTAGCGCGCGTCAGGGGTCCAGCTGGCTGCTGTAACACGCTGCATGCGCTTGGTGTGGTAGATATCCCGCGAGTGACCGCGGTCTCGGTTCCAGAGACGAACGGTTCGGTCCCAAGATGCGGATACAAGCTCTTCACCAGTTGGAGACCACTCGACATCCATGACGGCGGCGACGTGATCCTTGAGAACGTTGAGAGCACGGTCAAACTTGCGCATGTCGAAGAGGTAGATGTTGTGATCTTCAGAAGCAGCAGCCAGGTTGAAAGCCTCCATAGGGGACCAAGATAGGCGGTTGCTGGCGAACTTGAGGACGGTCTTTGTGACAGGTGTAGATGTGCGGAGGTCGTAGATGACGATGGAGCGGTCGTTGGAGCATGATCCCAAGATTGAAGTCTCGACGTAGTTGAAGGCAACGTCGGTGATGGTGTCGATAGATGTAGGCCACTTGAGAACTTCAGGAGCAGCGGTGTGACGTTCGAGATCGTAGATGTTGATCACACTGGAAGCAGCAGCAAACGAGTTCTTGGAGCGATGGTGCGACAAGCTGGTAAAAGCACCATTTCCAAGCCATGATGATATAGGAGCCGCTTCGCTAGGTGTGTTATAAGGGTCAAACAGCTTGATCGTTCTGTCGGCCGCACACGTCAAGAGCTTTTGATCGCGAGTCCATTCTAGACCCTTGACGATATTCTCATGAGCTGTCGCATGCCATATCTCGTCTCTATCGGCTAGGTCCCAGACCTTGACAACGCCGTCACCACTACCACTAGCAAAGTGCTCAAGAGAGTTGGGATCCTTGGCGATAGAATAGACACCGTCGACATGACCCCGTCCTAGCTGGCCTACGAAAGGCTGCGCATGCATTCGCTCGAGCTTGACGGCATTGAGGGCTCGCTGGTACTCGCGTGCGCGCTCAAAAGGATGGAGGGCGGAATCGAGGTTTCGTGGTTGCTTTGTAACATCTGAGCCGGCTGCTTGTTGAGCCGACACAGGGCGACTGAGGGCCTTGATCTTCATGTCGAATGGCCCTGTACAGTTGAATTTATTGACTGAACCTGTTCGAGGCTGGTAATTTAGGCGGGGACTGAAGCAATGGATATTTTTTTCTGTTATCGTTGAAGCACCCCTGTCAAACCGGACGATAAGAGCGGGATTACTAATGTTCCGGGCACGAGCCAGGTACACCAGCAGATCGCATATGCACGTCTAAAGTCAGGGCCTCAGTTCGCATTGTTGCGAAAACTCACCCTCTTTATTCCATTTACGCCTTCACCTTTTGATCCCCGCAGTTTCTAATCCTTTTTCCTTTCCGCACGTCGACCTTTCAATAACGCCTTTGCTGTTTGCGATACTGCGCCCAATTTGCTAGTTGATTCTTTCAGGCGCGCGACGCTTGCAAATATGGATGGAATGGATTATGACCCGATGGTGATGGATGGGGAGCCAGAGCAGCCCCAAGTGAAGATCTCTGCGGTATGAGAAGGCTCCCGAACCCTTTTTCTTTCGGGGGACACTCAACTGATGTGATTTGATGCAACTCAGGCCGATCACACCCACGTCGATTTCGAGCTATCAAAGACGAACCTTGCTTTCGCCAATGCCGTGCGGCGGATCATCCAGGCAGAAGTGCCCACGATCGCCATTGACCTGGTCGAGATCGAGACAAACAGCTCCGTGCTGGCCGACGAGTTCATCGCCCACCGCCTGGGTCTGATTCCTCTCGATTCGAAAGGAGTTGACGAGCTCAACTACTCACGAGACTGCGACTGCGAGCAGTACTGCGAACAATGCAGCGTCACTCTGACACTGCACGCGAAGTGCACGTCCGACGAGATTATGAAGGTGTATGCGAGGGATCTTGTGGTGGATGGTCGTCATATGAATGGAGTGGGAAGCCCCGTGATCACAGATCCAGAGGGTTACGGCTGCTTGATCGCGAAGCTGCGCAAGGGCCAGGAGTTGAAGATTAGCTGCATTGCCAAGAAGGGAATTGCAAAGGAGCACGCCAAGTGGATGCCTACATCTGCGGTCGGCTTTGAGTATGATCCTCATAACAAGCTGCATCACATTGACTGGTGGTTTGAAAACGACACAGACCCTGCTGTTGAATGGTGAGTTCTATGAACAAGTGTCGCGGTTATAGCTAACGTTGTACTCCAGGCCCAAGAGCAAATATGCTGAATGGGAGGAGCCTCCTCAAGAAGGCGAACCATTCGACTACGATGCAGTTCCAAACAGGTTCTACTTCGAGGTTGAAACGTCAGGGAGCATGGAGCCTGACCAAATCGTACAAAACGGTATTAGAGTCTTGCAACAAAAGATCGGTGGTCTTCTCAAGGGCCTAGACCCTAGGAAGTATGGCGGCGACGAAGCTGAGTTTGATGGTCCTCGAAGTCCTGATATGAACATGGACGGCGGTACCACACCTTGGCAGGATGGAGGGTACACTACGCCTTACGGTGGTGGCGGCGGCCAGACGGCGTACGGAGGTGGCATGACAGCCTACGGAACAACACCGTATGGGGGATCTTCTTGGCAGTAAGGAGCAGAGGCGTTTGATGGGTTAGGCAATTCGTAATCAAGAAAGGTTTGGAGGTATAAACAGGGGGTGATCTGGAAACTAGTAACAGTCTCAAAAAAAAAAGCATAGCACGGACTTAGAATGGGATCTTTTTTTCAGGACACAAATCATGGTACGACGTATACATTTTAGTGCTGTGAACGACAATGCTAACTTCTATACCCGCCTTTATCCTCCTCTATGATGAGTATGTTTTACAAACCAGGTTCCCACACAGGAATCTCGTGCAAGAGATCTTGAGTAACAAAGCAGTAACGCCAACAGGATGATCACCGCTCTTGAGTGACGAAACGACAAAACGACAACGCCAAAACATGCTCATCTTCCTGGTCTATCATGTCATGTCAAGTCTACAGGTTAGTATCCAAGCCCTTAACCTTGCGGTAGGCCTTTCGGTGCATCTCTAGGAAGACAAATGTACAAATAGTTTGTCTGCGAGAGCGTTAGGTGGGGGTTGGCACAGAGAAAGGAGGTACGTACGGTCCGAGTCGGAGGAAGCTTGGAACCCAGCCCTTGAACATCCACATAAGACCGTCAGTTCGGTGAATGTCGCGAATCAGGTGCAAGATGTTGTGATCATAGGCTGAAGACATAACACGAGTCTTGATGACGTCGATAGGGCTTGTTACAGTAGCAGCGACCAGACCAGCGATGAACGAAGAAGTAAAGTGAGTCTTGAGGTTATCCTCCATGGGCGTATACTGGAGAAGCAAACTCTTTGAAACGTCGTAGCTGGCAAGCTGACCAGCAGTCATGAACATGGCACGGCCACTGTTGGGCAACCATCCACGGAACATACTCTTAGGCCCCTCCTCACGCGCCATACGGACCATGCCGTCAAAAGCGTGACGATAGTTTCGACGCTCAGCAGGAGGAAGCGCAGCATCGTGTTGCATGCGCACGTTGAGAACATCGGCAAAGTTTCCAGCAATGCCACCTACGAAACCAGATCCAGCGGCTAGGGCAACGAGTGTCATAAAAGATGGATCGCGGCCTTCGTTACGGCGTGTAAGACGTGTCTTGACCTCTTCGTAGACGCCGAATCGCACGGTTGAATATGTCATCTGGCGCAGGAGAGAGGCGGATATGCCGCTGTAAAGACCGAGGGGACCATCGTGACGGAGAATGTGGACGAATGTACCGACCATGTTCTTGGGCGCATTGCCTGTGCGCATTTGAAGACGAACCTAGAGGAGAGTAAGAATTTGTTACAGTGTCACGAGAGGTTGTGAAGAGTTACCTTGACTGTTCAATGTTAGCTGAAGTTCGTCATATTTCGAGATCGCAAAACGCACCAAGATCCAAAGGATGTGTAACGCAAGCTGCCATGCTACTGGCACTTCCGCCAAACCAAAAGGGATATCTTATCGTCGTCTTCTTCGCATCAGCAGTCGCCTTTCCTGTCTTTACAGGCGCCGTGTCCGCCGTTTTGCTCATTGCGTCCTGACTGGTAGCCATGACGTGCGTTGGTTTTTTTTAGTTTCACAAGCCAAAGCAAAGACTGGGAAATAAGGACGAGTTTAGCTTAGACTATCTAAAGTTAAGCTGCTCAATGTCGATCAACTGAAGGTTCCATAACTTGACTTGACTTGTAAGTAACTAAAGTTAGGCCAAGTTGAGATGAGAATGGAAGTGGATGATGTGGGAAGGTGAAAAAAGAAAAAGGTCGGTTAGTTATGATTACTACTACAGCAAGGGTTCACTTTTTTAAGTGCATGAGCCTCAGCTGTTGCTACCGACATCGCGGAAAGTTATCAATTGGCCCGGTGTTTAGCTACTGTAACCGGACAATCGGAGCGGGATCGGCTGTCAAGTCGCCGAAGCGAAGCAAGAATAGCGCTAGATTGCAATGCTATCTTTATGCGAGGCCGTTGGAGAAGAGCTGAAGTTGAAGTTAATTGTGAGTGAACTGGATTGGATTGGTTATATCCGGAGGAGCTGTAAGGCCGAACGCCGAACATTTTTGCAGTTTTGGTGATACAACCAACCAATCGTGGAACCCCTCTCGGCGTTCGAGTATTCAATTTACGATAAATCGATCAGCCATTGGTGTCTACTGCGTGGCCCACTCGGCCTGTAATGTAATTGTCGAGCTTCACAAGTCTTCAGAATGAGACTCTACATCCAGGGCATGCAGTGCCTGAGGGCTTCTGCCCCGCGACCTGTCCAGCTTCCCCGGAGCTCTATTCTCCTACGAACAGCTTGCGCCGCGAGGACTTACTCGTCGGGTCGGTCTACTTCCAGTCAATTACTTGCATGGGCGTCTCGCTGACTGGTTCGGCCTTGTTGCAGCACGCCCGACGGGAACTCCAGGCTCCGTGACTATCCGCGACCAGACCATCAAGACTGATCCTCAATGGTTCAACGTACCCGACAACGTCCTCGACGCCACTACAAGGAAACTTCACCTATTGAAAGATCACCCCGTGTCTATCACCCGCCAGATTATCCAGGCCAACTTCCCTGAGCCGACGTTCAAGTATCACAATGAGTTCAGCCCTGTGGTATCAACAGCCCAGAACTTCGATTCGCTAGGATTTCCCGCGAATCATCCCGGTCGCGCCCTGTCCGATACATATTACCTGAATAGCGAAACTCTACTGCGAACACATACGAGTGCTCACCAGGCCGACACATTCCGAGCTAACGAGAGCGCGGGGTACCTTGTGTCTGCCGATGTATACAGACGGGATGCCATTGACCGCAGTCACTATCCTGTGTTCCATCAGATGGAGGGTGCAATGTCATGGGATCGTACTAAAGTTCCTAATGGCGATGTTGCTGCTGCGGTATGGAAGGACTTTGAGAATCTACCCATTCATGGGGTCAAGGTCGATGACCCAAACCCTCCTATGCATCCCGAGACAAACCCTCTCCAAGATGCTCACCACACAGCTGCTGAGGCTGAGGCTATCGGTGCCCATCTCAAGAGGTCATTAGAAAACATGGTCGTCGATATCTTCTCCCGGGCCAAGGCTACTGCGATCAAAGATGACCCCAACTTCGTGGATGAGCCTCTGCAAATGCGATGGGTAGAAGCTTACTTCCCCTTTACCAGCCCCTCATGGGAGCTGGAGGTCTACTATGCCGGCGACTGGCTCGAGGTCCTGGGCTGTGGTGTGGTCAAGCAGGATATCTACATCAACGCTGGTGTACCTGACCAACTGGGTTGGGCTTTTGGCATCGGCATCGACCGCATTGCCATGCTTCTCTTCAAGATCCCCGACATTCGCCTCTTCTGGTCAAAAGACAAGCGCTTCCTATCCCAATTCGAGGGCGTGACCGACAATCTCGACAACCTGAAGCGCTTCGTCCCCTTTTCCAAGTATCCTCCCTGCCCCAAGGACGTGTCCTTTTGGCTTAGCTCCACGACAGCAGCAGGTGGCAACACCAAGGGCACATTCCACGAAAACGACGTTATGGAAATTGTCCGTAACGTGGCGGGTGACGTGGTCGAGGATGTGCGCCTGATCGACGAGTTCACGCATCCCAAGACGGGCCGCAAGAGCATGGCGTATCGCATTGTCTACCGCAGCTTGGAGCGAACTCTGACTAACGATGAGGCCGTCGCTTTCCACGAGGATGTGCGCAAAGCCTTGGTCAAGGAGCTGGGTGTTGAGCTTCGATAGACTGGGTCAGAGCTAGGGTAGCTGAGCTGAAATAAACGTGTGGAGAAGCTGGAGCTTATGGGCCCAGCTCGGCATGGCAGCTTGGACCCTTGATTGCCTTGAGCTAGTTGTGTTGTGAGGCTGTATGAATCTGTAGACTAGTCGCATCTGTGTATAGTATCCGCCGTATGAACCAACAAAAAGTCCGACGCTCACGGGCTTAGGTCTCCTCTGATGTCTTCAAACTGAACTATCACGAGCCCAGCTGCTGCGCCATAGTTGAATCACGGGCTTCATTTCCATAAGCCAAGCCACGAATCAAGCGTGGTTGTTTGCAAATTGCAGGATTCATGAATGGCTTTGCTCGAGTGACGTTATTGTTGATCTGAGCCACGTCTGGCCCGGGCTCTGGGTTCCTTGCATGGATGAGCTGAACTGAGCTGCCTCCCGGCGGGGCGGTATCGAGAACAGGGATGAGGCGGGTGGCTTGTGCGTTGTGGCGTTGCTGGTGTCGGAGCTTTAGAGATTTGGAGGCCGACGGGTTATTGAAATCCTCGGTGTCGGACAGATGAGAAAATCATTAGGTTCTGGTATTGGTATTGATTAGCACTGAATCTAGATTCTAGTTTCAGACTTTCAATTGCACCATGGCCACATCTGCGAGAGATATCTGATTCGACCACCAAGCCTTTGGTCAGGAACCGTGACCAATAATAATCCGAGGTCTTTAACTAGATCCCAGGGATATCCTCACATAACCGTCTTGTTATCTTGATTACAGAATATCATAGCTTGTACTACCAATCGATCGCTCTTTCGAGAGTCACCTCAGACCTCGCCTAAAGTCCTTCATCGTGTCAATAGCTGGACATCCCAATCGGGAAGGTATAGGAGGACTTTTTGACTCTAGTTGGTGTTGAGATAACTGCCCGTCAGAATATCCCTGCAAGGGTCTCGATTCTGTATGTCACTGGGTAAAGCAGGGGACAATTGTAAGGCTTGGCAAAATTGAGGAGTTGTTGGTCTAAAGACATCGATCGATAGGTATGTTGGCATATTCTGGACCAATGTTGGCTTGAGGCGCATGGGTTTAGTTGATTCAAAGAATAGTCGTCAAGAAAAGCATTGAATCGGATCTCGTGACTAGACAATCGACAAGCTGCCTCTTTCTCCTGTATCGGAATGTAGGCATTGCACGAGTTGGCAAAAGTGACGACATTGACGATAGTCTCACCAAGAGTTGGCCAAGGCCTCACCCACGAAAGGAAGCCCCGCTCGGCATAGAGACCTCCATATCCCGAGGCCATTCCCTTGAATATGGGGTTGGACTAGGGAGACTATGCCGTCGGTTTCGGGACGACCCCAGTCTAGTAAAGAGGGCGGAGGTTTACCGCAATCTCGCCAAAAAGATATAGCCACAAGACCAAAGCTGGAGGCAGTACATACATATAAGATTGATACTAGTAGGAGGCTTTCTAGGCCTTATTGTATGGGCTTAGGCCTTAGGATCACGCTTGAGGATCTCATCGTGTTCGGGAGGCTCGGACGAAAGAGGAATGAGCTCGCTCAAAGATTGGGATTCAAATTGTTGTTTCTCCTCATGCACAGCCCCCTTGGCCTTTGATGTTTTGAAAAGTCATCGGGTGTTTAAGAGCTGTGACTGGCTGCATCTGATATGCCGTGGGGGATCCTCGCGTTTAGATAGGGAGTCTTGTTAACAGTTCAATCGATGTCTTAGAACATTTGCTATTGCAAACTGATTATGAATAGGACAGCACGCTTTTGAATAGACATAGTATTCGTAAAGCACACTTTGTTCACAGTAAATATTGATCTTATGTTGTGCAATCTCTTGTAACACCTGTTCATGGCAAAAAGTCTATCGAGGTTGAATGTCCGGGGTCAAAATGCAATACACTGCAGTAGCGCCATGCAGGTTTCCAGGGGGTGGGTGTGTCAAATTCATGGTTGGATCGATTCATGAGCGGTAAAACATTAGATGGCTTGGATGGAGTTTGAAGATGGCATTTCGAGACATATGATCAGACAAGTCAACCTTTGGTACGAGGGCTGTCATAGATTATTAACATGACAACCCACCAGTTTCCATAAGACGTTAAGTTTGTCTTTTCTTAAGATGACCGTATGATTCGAGGAATTATAGACTTCCTATTCTAAAAACATACAACCATGGAATAGCTTGAATTGGAGCAAACTTGGCCTACCAGGTTCTGTTTGATAGCCATGAGTCTCTAGCCCGCAGGACCATCATTAGTCGAGACGGAGCAAGACAAGATAACAACACCCTTTTCTATGGAGACAAACCAAACATGAGTCAAGATGGCATTGGCATTTCTTAACACAGCCCTCACAAATCTCCTCAACAGAAAAAAAAGGGATACAGGGCTTTGCTCGTTTTGACTGATCGCAGGAGGGGGGAAAAAGCTTAACGTTCTGGCCCGGACCAAATGGAATCGCCATCGCCAAAGCCGTCAAGGCCTCACTGGCTCAAAAGAGGCAAAATACTGGGACCTTGCAGTGCACAGCCCCCCCAAACTCCATGAACAACACCCCCTGTGAGCCCGCTAGCCCTGTTAGGTTCTGTTCTGTGCGTGCGTACCCTGGCCACCCGCCTGAACAAGAGCGAGCAGCGAGTTCCCCAGCCGCCGGGAGGCTTAGTTGACTTGTCGTCGTGTTCCTGAGGCGGGAGGCGGCGCTTCCATTGGAAAGTGGAAAACCATAGAAATATAATAGACACCGACCTTCGCACTTTTTGTCTTATTCATTCAGCTCAACTCAGCAACACCCAGAAGCACTCTAGAGAAACAACATTTCAATACTCGATTCAAATATCGACAGATCGACAGGAACGCCCCGCAGATCTTGCACTGTTTACATCTCCATCTCTACCAACATCATCCAGAGCCAGTTATCATCGTAACTGCTTTTGAACCTCACCTCTACATCTACATTCACAACAACCGCCTTCAAAATGGAGACCTCACCGCAACACTCCCGATCTTCCTCCTCCGCTTCGCGCCGCTCAAACCTCACCCTCGACCTTTCTAATATCCCACCCATGACCCCGCCTACGCCTCCTTCAAACACCCTCCTCTTCACCAACCTCACCGACCCGGCCATCTTCCTCCCCGAGAACCTCCAGGTCATCCGCGATCTCATCACGCACTCCGCACCCATTCACGCTTTCGCGCCGCTGAAATCCTTCCGCCGTATCGTTGTCTCCTTCTTCGACGAGCAGGCTGCTATCGCCGTTCGCCAAGTATGGGATAACGAGGCCATCATGGGTCAGCAGTGCCGTGTCTACTTTGGCATGCCTACACCTGTCGACAAGCGCGATGAGCACCTTGCTCTTCCTGATGCTGGCAAGCTCTTCTTCATCTCGCCACCACCTAGCCCTCCCCATGGCTGGGAGATGCGCCTCGAGGATGCGCCCAACAAGCTGGTCCACGCTGAGGATCTCGCTGATGCGCTTGCTAAGCTGCACCACCGCCCAGGACCTATGGATGAGGACCAAGACTCACCTGTCACTCCTCCCGACTCTGCGCTGCCTGGCCGAACACGCTCGCGCTCTTCTACTCTCATCTACAAGCCTGAGGATGCGGCAAGCACCATGCCTGCCGTCATCGTCGACGACATGACGGATGAACCCGAAGAAGTCAGCCCTGTGGAGCAGTCCAAGCCCATCTTGGCGCACACTGCCCGACCTCCTGTCGAGCTTATGCACCATGCTTAAGCTTGTCGCAGTCGAACCTTTTCAATCATATTGTGAATTCTCTGGCGTTAAAGGATACGGATAAGGGTAATTGGGGATCGGTGATGGCATGATTGAGCGGTCGGTCTACCTAGGTTTACAATGGAGCATTGCATCCTCTTCAGCATGTGTTGTAGGAGTTGGTAAAATATGTCTTTTGGGGTTACTATCACGGAAATGGCGGTAAATGTGCCACACATCGTTGGCTTTTACCTACTGGCGCAACTGTATAAAATAGCTAGTGGCTTAATAGCAGTTCTGAAATCAGAATGATACCACACATATTGTTTTCAACCTCGCCCAAATGATTTGACTTATTGACGACCTTTCCTAGTAAGTGATCAAAACGTAGTACTAATCAGCCCAGATGAGGCTTTGTTGCGCCAAGACAGCCGAGAGTAAATGGCGCGGTATATTCGATACGCCCACGAATCTGACGAGGCTCACCGCCGTAATAGCTCCAAGAATCGTGCCGACTAAGAGCACTGCCCTCCTCAAGATGGTCATACTCTTGGAGAAGTCCGCTGACGTTGTCCTTTCTGCCTCAAGGTCCTTGCGCACGCCTAGTTCAGTGAGCATCCCGAGGCGTGGGAGATACTGGAACTCAAAAATGCTCGATTCACCAAGACCGCCCGCTTTATGATTGTGGATCATAAAATACGCAAAGTTTTTGAATCTCTGTTACGCGGCGTCAGCCACAAGGCTCTCGGGTTCGTATTGACCGTGGATATAAGGGGGTGAGAGATGAATACATACTTGTTCTTGTCGCTTCTGCATGTGAGTAGGCATCCAGGGGTAGCTATAGCTTATGAAAAAGAGAACAGTGCATTGCATCCATACGACAAGCCGGGATCGCAAGTCAGGCTTTTCGATACCGAGTGCGCTGGCGAATTCGTCCCCGTTGAGTCTGTATGCGTGTGCGGCGAGTACCTCGCGTGGCATGTTCAGTGGCGGAGCTCGAGCTTCTGCCGTGAGAATATTGTTTGCGAGGATTTGGGAGTTCGCTGAGGGAGCTACTTCAGATACTGCTATCGACTCCAGCATGGCTTTGGCTTGTTGTGATGTAGCCATCCAGTCCACAGGTGTTCCAAGCAAATAGCCAACATAACGCCATAAAGCAAGATAGTCTGCAGTTTGTTGCTCAGATAAGTAGATCCCTTGTCTGGGAAGAGCCATATAGACAATGGCAGCGGAATATGCTGAAATAGTGGCGATTGTGTGCAAGTCGTTGATAGGAACTCCCCATTTCTCCATATCGAAGTATCCTGGGTTTTGATGCTCAAGTTGCATAAGCCGTCTTCTAACTGAAGCATGTAAGAGACGCACTCGTACTGAAGAAACATAGCCTTTTCCTCCGGGCTTTATTGCATCGAGATCGTCGACGACTTCCATGAAATGCTGGAGGGTTTCTAGAAGTCGTCGCCTAGTGACATTGATGCCGAAACCACCAGTTCGAGAAAGAGTCTCGACAATTCGGTATGCCCCCATTCCGCCCAACAATGACTTATACATGAGCTTGCAAGATAGTCAGTAAATTTGCTTCTTGATAGAGGTTTCATGACTTACACCGAAGAGAATCTGTCCACTGAACCGATACACGACCTGCTGTCCACGCTGAATCTGATCCCAGTCAACCCATTCAGGGATAGTAGAGACTTCTTCCCATAATTGACCCAGTATTTCATCAGAATTAGCATGATTCTTCAATAGTTCGTAAATATCTCTCTCGCCCGGGCCAGAACCATGAGGACACTTCCATCCCTTTGTCGTAGGTGGCGAGATCAGGTCTAGACGATCGAGAGCATCTGTGGCCAGCTTGTCGTATGAATAAAGATAGTGGTCAAGCTCCCCGGTGGTCTTATGTCCGGAAGTCCAGTTGAATCTATGGCCACCGATGATTCTGCTGTCTTTGAAGAAAAATGGGTAGCGGCAGTCCATGGTTAGTAGTTGTGTCATGGATCATGAAAAAAGCCTGGCGTAGATTTCATAAATAAAGAGCCAAGAATATACTAAATCCGATTTAAGTTACGAGATGAGGTTGTTGTTTATTTTCAATTTTGTCAAGAATTGCGCTTTCGACTTGACGCACCACGGCTCATGATGCTTCGAAAGGCCTTTACGGTACTCCTGCACGGGCTGTAGTGGCCCCAGCGCGGATATATAGTATTAAAACACCATTGGAACTCTTCCATGACGAGGACAATATACCGAATAGCAGCACATGATGAGGGATAGTATCTGCCACATCAACATACACTCCATCTCGGATCGAATGACAAGGGCACTAAGATGATCGGCTCGACTTTTACTTCAACGAACATGTTGTTGGCACGTTAGAGAGAACAAAGAAGCCCAATGAGATGCAGAAAACAAGCAAAATGTGTAAATCGGAGCGGGGAACAACACATTCCCATACATGCCTTAGCCAAGACATATCTGTAATGGTTCAGAGAACATGTTAGCTTCACTTTTACCCGGAAGAAGCTCCGGCCCCCGCCATGTTCCATCGTTGTTGATGAGAGATGTTTCATGATGACACTGCGTTGACATTAGCAGTCATAGATACTTCAGCAAAGTCAAGGCTTTATCGACTCTGAAGTGGGCACAAGACAAACGAAGTTGATGGTGAAGCCTAGTTTCTGGGCGTTCGATGCACGACCAGATACACTAGAGGTTCGCCTCTTGATCATCCCGTTAGTTAGCAAGCTAGACAGATTCTTGCGTAGCCAATGGCAATGCTATTGACATACTCGAGGAAGTGTAATGGTTGAGTGGATGGATGGGGCATGTTTGACAGCGTGGCTCGAGCAACGGTTTTCATTATCCGGCATTTGTATCGACACGAGTAAACGAAAGTATCTCGACTTGTTAGATGCACATAACAATGTATCTTAAGTGAGGAGGAGTGACTCCGAAGATGAAGTGGCGAGACTTTATGCAACACACCAACACCACGAATGGAGGATGGTTTCCTTTTTAGCGTCCCTGGAATGGGAATTCAAGTTGTGAGGGGGATCAATGACAACGACATCTCAATGGTAGTTTGGGTAGTATTGGAGAATAGTTAGGGCGCATGTGATACAGCATCGGGCTCATCGATGAACCCGATACTGAAGACTATGGGATTTCGAAGGAAATGAAAGAGGATCTGCAATGTATCATACGACTTATACCTGAAGGAGAAAGCAATGAGGCGGCTTTCGAGCATTATATCAAGTCGCCATGGAAAGTTAGGACAGTATAGTTGAGTGCCATATCGATTTATAGCTAGAAAATACCTGTGCGCTCATTAGTAGAAAGAGATATTTGAACTCCTATGATGCCTCCTATAAACAAAGTTGATGCAGCATTACACTGACTCTTGGCATAGTGGTGTAAGTGAGACACTTCATTCTCTGGCTGGTATAGTAGATCCAAGTCACATTGTTTCCGATCATTGACGGTTATATGCCGAGTATAAGCATCGATCTAAGATCATATGTCAAAAATGTCTAAACTCCAAATACAAAATTGTTGACGTTTCCTGAAATCATGAAACAATCATGTCGCAAGAAGAGGTTTGGGAAGATGCGGACCAACGTAAGTCCGTCGCACCAAATCGAGTCAAGCCCGCAATTTTCGGCCCCACTTCCGGACCCTTGCTCCCATCATGAAGCCTCTTTCCATTGACCAAATTTGGTTCACATTTTCTTATCACTCTCGGGATCGCACTCGCCGATCCAACTTATCATGATGAGCTGTACATGTCGAGTCACGCCCCTAAAGATATTCGTACAAGGCCTATCTCAAGTTCATAAAGTCGACGCATCGCCTTCCCTTCTCCGTCTGCCGATCCGCACTCGACCGGCGTTGTACCAGAATAATTTTGTCTTGGCGCGACAGGCCCGATCTTTACATTTTTCAAAAGCTTTACAAGATGCTTCCGGAGAAGCCGCTAGAGATGATGACCCTCTTTCTCAAATTCGGCCAGACGATGAAAACCGAGCGGTGAAAAACGACGACCCTTTCGCCACAGACGAAAATCCGGAGTCTATACCATGGAAAGCACAACCAGGCACGAATAACGAGGCCCAAAAGCCTCGGAGGAGGAGAAGAGAAACGCCAGAAGATTTTACGACCCTGAACTATCGCCGAAACAAGAGCGTGAGACAGCAACTAGAAGACGATGAGGAGGCAAACGACCACAATAGCAGTCGCAACCGACGAATGAAGGGTCCTTCTTCGTTACAACCACAACCCAAAGAGAATTACTGGAAAATCCAAAAAGCGGCTCTGAAGGAGAAATTCCCAGAAGGCTGGCGTCCTCGAAAGCGTCTTTCTCCTGATGCTCTGGCCGGTATCCGGGCTCTCAACGCCCAGTTTCCCGATGTCTACACCACCGAAACCCTATCGAACAAGTTCGAAGTATCACCCGAGGCTATCCGTCGTATTCTGAGGAGCAAGTGGCAGGCCAATCCTGACGAGGAAGAGAAGCGAAACGCGCGATGGTTCCGTCGTGGAAAGGAAGTCTGGGAGCAGAAGGCTGCGCTGGGTATCAAGCCGCCGCAGAAGTGGCGCCGTGAGGGCATCACACGAGATCCCAGCTACCATGACTGGAAGAAAGAGGCGGTTGAGCGAAACCGTGAGAGAGAGGAGCGGGATGACGTGGAGATTAGGGGTCAGAATGCCCCTCGTCGACGTGCTTATGCCCCTCGATCTGAAGGTTATACTCCCCGTTCAGCTCCTCCATCTGAGGGCTATACGTCTCGTCCTGGTCCTCGATCTGAAGTTTATACTCCTCGAGCTCGTATTCCTCGAACCGGGGACTATACCCCTCAATCGGTCCCTCGAACCGGACGAGGAAGATCTTAAAAAATGGCGAATGTACGATGGCATGATGAGGCTTTGCATATAGATCGGCGCTGGTGCATTGTACTATAGTTGTAAACTAACTCTACTATTGAAATGAATTATGTATGTTGGAAATGTATGTATGTCATGATGTAGCTTTGCAGGGTACTGGGTAGGAGGAATTCAGGTATATAAACAATCAGTATATATCAGGGCATATAAACAACGTACCAGGAGTGTTTCTACCAATGACTTGTTCATCACTATCACACTTTGTTGAATTTTCTCCTTGTCAATGGAGGCTCTCGTTTAAGAGCCTCGGCGAGGTGGGCTCATGGTGACAGGGGTAATCGTGTTTTGTAGCAAGCTGGGCGCTTAAGTTAGAGATGGGTTTCACTGCCACATGCTAACGTTTATCGAGTCTTGGCTAACTTGACCACTCTCTGGCCTTTTCGTTTCTCTCATAAAAGATTCATCTTGAACTCTGCACTCATTCAATTCCTTCACAGATATACAATACTCACCTAATTCTTACTTGTGTATCATCCTCATCAGTCATACACCATGCCCACACAATACCCCCGGCCCCCGCAGCGTGAATCGTGGTTTGCGCCACTCTCCATTGACCTCTTCCTCAAGGTCCTCAACACAACACTTCTTCACCCGTTCGTCTGCTGGATTATACCGCTATGCTTCCGTGCGCAGACAGTGAAATGGGAAGCGCCGCCTATGGTGGCCTCTATTGCGTGGGCTACCATTGTGACGCTATTCTGGATGGCCAATGTGGTCAACCAGCGCATTGCTCACGGGATCCCGCGTGAGGTTGACCTCAGCGAGGAGGTAATTGTCATTACTGGAGGCGCAAGTGGAATGGGTCTGCTCGTTGCTGAGGTTTATGGCATGCGCGGCGCGACAGTGGCTGTGCTGGATGTGAACGAGATGGAGAATACTGAGGCGAGAGGCGTCACGTATTACAAGTGTGATGTTGGCGACAAGGATCAGGTTGCAAAGGTTGCGCTCGAGATTGAAAAAGATGTAAGTCTTGAGCTTCTGAGACCATGAGATTTGTTACTAATGAAATACCAGCTCGGTACGCCAACTGTGCTTATCAACAACGCGGCTATTGTTATTGGGAAAACTCTATTGGACCTGTCGCTTGATGAGATTGACAAGAGTCTCACGACTAACCTCCTCGGACCATTCTACTGCCTCAAAACTTTCTTACCTGCCATCATTCGCGGTGGAAGGGGCGGTACCATCGTCAACGTCTCCTCTGTCATTGGCACGGTTGGTGCCGCACAGCTGACCGACTACGCTGCTGCAAAGGCCGGTCTCACAGCCATGCACCGATCTCTGACAGCGGAACTACGTGAGAGCCATCCCGAGATCCGAACAGTGTTGGTTACACCTGGTCAAGTGAGCACGCCGCTCTTCTATGGGGTCCAGACACCCAACTCCTTCATCGCGCCGGTTGTTGAGCCCGTGGATGTTGCCAAGGAGATTGTGGCTGCCATTGATAGTGGAAAGGGTGCTACAGTTGCTATGCCACTATACGCCCGTTGGGTTGACTGGCTTAACGTGTTGCCTGTGGGAGTGCAAACCATTGCGCGATGGGCAGCGGGAGTGGACCGTGGGATGAAGACGTTTGTGGGGAGAGAGGGACAAAAGCTTGAGTGAACTTGACGCTGGCGTCAGTTTGATGAATACGAAGAGTGTAAAGTTTCGACAGGATGAAAAACAATAATGTGAAATTAGATGATGTATCTTTATTGGAGCATTAATACACATAGAGTCAGCACAAGCGGTGACCTGGGGAAGTGATCCTGAGGAACTTTTTGGCTGAATGAGAATACGGTATTCAACTCATGGAGTTCCATGGATAGCCAATGGAGTATATGCCGATTCTAGTTGACAGGCTTCTTGACTCTTGTCAAGTCTGTCGGAAGAGGACCGATCCATATTATCTCTTATAGGCAAATCATTCATGAGAACATGTCGTAGCCTACCACTCAACTTGCGTGACAACCTAAGCGAAAACAACCTCTAAGCTTACAAATGCATGAAACATGCAATAGACCTTGAGGGAGAACGAAATCCTATAGGAGGAGAAAGGGGATCGAGCGATTGACCCCTGGCTAACCGGGCTTTAGACGATTTAATACCGTTGACAGCTCTGGACAGGTCGGGTTGAGCGGCCGGGTACAGAGAACCACATCGCATCATGAGCTGGAGAGATGGAAGAGGCATTGTGCAGCTCTGCGGGCGCTATTTAGGTTACTGTACGGCCGTTGGCCACATGGGATTTGTTTGTCGCTTGGACATACCGGTAAAGGTTAGGAATGGTTCATGGTGAGAGCTCTATACGGGGTGAGACTGTTGCTTGTACTTATTGTTGAGTCTGAGGAGTTGCTGAGAAGAGAGTAGACGGTACAATATGTGTAGTAAGAATTGTATGTATGTATGTATGACACAGGAATGAATGTTTCAGCCCTGGTTCTCCTTCGGTGACGGAAATGACATTGCGCCCGTTACTACGGAAGAAGCGAGGCCGGGTGAGGTTTCATGGAATGACCCGAGAGTGTGGAAAGTTTGCAAGCCTAATGAAGTCTCTTTCTGCCCGTGATGCTGTCTTTGTAAGTGATGAGAACCTAAAGAGAGGCTGCTGGTATTGGTTTACTGTCCTGTTGGTGTAGGTTGGTTGTCAGTCAGTGGTTGTGGGGATAACAGACCCTGCTTGGCGGGGGGGAAACACCTAAACGTCATGTCACTTGAGCCTTGTCTACGCCCGCAGAAGCTGCACCTTGATCCATTGACGGGTGGATCGATTTGGGAAGTATTTTCAGCAGGTGTACATACCTAGGTACACTCGAGATGTGAATCGACCGAGTGTTTGTCATTGTGTCTGGCTGATATTGATTGAATTGTTTAGTACTATAGCTAGGTAGTCTATCAACGTTGGATCCGATATTGGAACATGAGCACGCGACAATTAAGCATTGGATCAAAGCCCCTGCTTCCCTTGGCTGCAAGATTAATTACTACTAACTACAAACTACTTATAAATCGAATCGGGACCGACGACCCGTTGTGCTGTAATACGCCCGCTGGTTCCGTTACTTTGCGACATAAAACGCCCGCTACAGCTAGACCCAGGAGTTACAGAGTTGGTTAATCCTTTGAGAGATGTCCATGATCATCTGAAATCAGACAATCGTCTAGTCACACAGCAAGCCACTACATCATACATGGCACAACACACTCTCTGTCTGTAATGCTGCTGCAGTTTGACAAGATGATTTGCCCTATGCCAACTCGATCTTCAAAAGTGTCACCTAAGTCTCTCCCCAGAGAGACACTAAAAAAAGGTGCTTGCACTTCACTTAAGAGGCTAGACCTACCTTATCTGACCCTTCTCCACCAATCCAATCACGCCGCCATCACATTCTGCACCCAGCCCAGGCCAGCCCGCAGCCACGGAGCGGGCAATCCCACTTTGGCTGCAGAGATAAGCCAGTCCAAGCCAGTCCAATCCGTCCTCCATTTTCTCCCACGCCCTTTTCTTACATTCATTGCAATTACAACTCCTCCAGCTTGAAGAATCCAATTGCAGCTCACTTGTCACTCAGTTCTGGGCCTACCTAGCCATGTCCATGCGTGTCCGTGTCACGCCTTGAACCATGAGGCGAACCCTGATACTTTCTCCCTTATCCCTGAACATCACATACAGTACAACTCAACTCAACTCAAACTGAATCATACATGCTTTCATATGAAACTACTCAGGTCCCCTGCTCCTAGCCTGTCAACTGTCTGTCAACTGCAACTGCAACTATAACTTACTGCAACTACTGCTACTGTCACTGTCACTGTCACTGCTACCGTCTCGCCGAGTATTCTGACCTATCAAACTCTCATACTGCTTAAACTCAACCGTCAACCTAGGTAGTCGCCGAAACATACACTTTATTAGTGTCCGTCACCTTATGAGAGACTCAATCAACTGCTATATAATCGGCCCCCAACTTCTCTATCGACAACCACAGATGCAGTTCTAAATCACAAACATCGCACCGCAAGGGGTCTTCTCCTACCTTTCATCTCATCAAGTGAGCCGTTTCGACAATGGGACAGTGGTGGGTTGACTCTCGCATCGAAGCTACCGTTACCCGGTCCTATGTCGCCAGCCAACTCCTCCCGGATGAGATTGAGCGCCTAGATCGCCCAGTCGCATTTGGCGGCGAGGACTTGACGGAGCGCACCTACTGGGAGAGCATTCGAAATGATGCGCCTCGTTTGTTCCTCATTCTTGTCGACCTTGGTGTGCCGGATCAGATCTTTGGTGTTGTCGACGATGGCTGGGATGACGCTGAGCTACCGATTGCCCTCGAGGACGTGGATCGCCTCTTGTTGACAGCAACTCGTGATGAGAAAGTCGAAAAGAAGTTTTACCAACGCCAGTTTCACTACCTCCTTAAGCCCCTGCAGCGAGGGAACCATGTGGCGTACAAGGACAACGAAGTAGTACCCCTAGACGTCGTCGAGAAGCCTTCATTGCCAACGCACAAGTCGCACGGTAACGACAAGGTCAGACTTCCAAATGTTCCAGGGGAGGTCTTTTATCGAAGACGATACGTGCTGGGTAACGGACCTGGGACTATGCCCGTGCAAGACTTTCTCGATGCTGTCCATGGGATCAAGGGTCTGCAGAACGAGCACATGATCTCGTATTGGGCATCGTATACGCAGCATGGATATGGATACGTTTTGTTCACGCCAGCAGGTGACTTTACTCTAAAGTCATTCTTGGCGACGACACCATCACAGTTCAGACATCTTGCTAAGGCTCGTCGGAGGGAGCTTGTCATGAACTGGATTTTGTGTCTTGTCGACACACTCTGTGACTTCCACGGAAAGAATCAATCGCATGGATACATCAAACCTTCGACCATCTTCTTTACCAACCAAAATCACGTCTTTTACTCCGACTCAACACGACTCACCCCCGACAACGTGATTCTTCA